CTGTCAAACTGCAGATTATTAATTATTATTAATTTGAAAAGAATAAGGGTCTAATCTAATATTTTAAACTTATTTTAGAAACCTAATTTATGTAGTGTCTGATCAGAAATCAGTTCTTCACATTTATTACATTTATTCTGTTTTTCTTTAAAATATTACAGAGTAAATATATTTATTTTATTTATTAATCAGCTTATCCATGAAAAAGAATAATTTTAAAAAAGACAAGCTCAGCTTCACCTTTAAAATAGTCTTTAAAATAATATGACAAGTCCGCCCTTCTTTGTGCCTGCTGCAGGCCACACCACCTCCACCACCACCCCACCACCCGCCGCACTGGAGCCCACCCCCCTTCAGTGCTTCACCCCACCACACACACACCCGTCCCGTTGTCCCTTGCGATCATTTTAAGTGAGCGATCAGCTGTTTATTTTAATTTTGTTCATTTAGTTAATTTCAGATAACTTACAAACAGATTCAGTGACACAAAAAGTTTTTACTTTTGAAATTATTTCAGCATCAGTCAGTGTTTCTCTTCATCTCTTATGTGAATCATAATTAACCCTTACACTGCTGGAGGAAGTGAGACTCACGTGTCTTACTGCACATTGCCTGATCAGGTAATCTTTGATCCACCCAGTGGGTCTAGTAAGCAAACCGTGAACGTGCATTAATCCCAGATTATTTACACCTGACTTGAATGAACCACCTTATTTGAGCGCGGCTTGGTGTTCGTGCAACTGATTACAGCTGTTTACAAGTTGAAGGCTAGTTCAACCTCGGCTTACAGCTCTTATCCTGAATTTAGAAACCTGACTTTTGTGCGACAGGTCTCAGGACTCGGTTTATGGAAGCTGCTCTAACAAACAAACAAACATGAACAAGAATAATATTAAAAGTTATCTCTTGCTTTGTTCATGCTTGTCATTCTTTAGCCAGTTGAAGACCCTGTAAGTGCTTGAAAGAAAACTTTACTTTCAAAGGATTTCTTTACACATTTTCATTATTTTCAGATCAAACGATGATTCTAATTAAAAGGGTGACTGAAAAAAATGACAGTGGGATGTATGAATATGGAAGCTAGCTGTATTTACTATAGAAACTCAAAATAAAGAATTGTTGTCATACTTTATAAGACCATAATAAATATTAGGGGTGTCCCGATACCAGCTTTTTTTAAACCAGGTACTAGGTACTCACCAGTACTGAGTACTTACTGAGTTAGTAATTAAACATTACACAATAATTTTAAAAGGACATTCCTTTTATTTAGAACAGGGTGACTCTCCTTCCTTACTGGCCTGCAGCCCCCCTGACTGGATACAATTATTTATACTGCATGATATTTACTGCTGCAACATTTCAAAATAAAAGCATTGAATATGATTTTCTTTCAACTTGTATGGAGCTGACAAACGTTTAACTTGAAATGGAGTATTGGTAGTTAGTACTGGTATCAGTTCCAGGTATCAGGACATTTTGTATGAGAACAACTACTTGTAAAAATTCTGGTATTGATACCAGTATTGGTATCGGGACATTACTAATAAATACAAAATAAAATGACTGTGGATAATAAATAACTCCACAGCAATAAAAAGAGTGGTCTGCCTGTGTGCTGCTGTTTAATGCAGCCTGAGTCTGTGCACTAAAGGGATCCCCGATTAGTTGTAACATCAGACTTTATTTAATAAACATATACTTTAACTGTAAAATAAAGACTATAAAAAACTAGGATGTTTAGTTTTTATAATTTTTAAACTAAAAGTTTAAAAATATATTACACTGATGGGGCCATTTTATTTACACACAAAGCATTCTGGGTAAATGATGACGTGGATAGGTCATCGGTGCGAGGCTGCTAGCGAGCTATATCCACTCTGAAGGTTAATCTTGGACAATATCTGATGATTGACTCTTTTAAATGAAACCAGAGAGCGTTGACAGAGAGGAGAAGGTAGAAATGACTCAGACTGTAACTGAAAATATGGATGGAGGACAACAGTTTAGCTTGTTTGTCATACTAGCATCGAGCTAATACATATAAGGCAATATAGCGTCAGTGCTAACACAAAGGCTAACAGGCTAAGCTGAGGTTCTTCTTCCATGAAGCAGCTCTGTTGTCCTCCATCCATATTTTCAGTTACAGGCTGAGTCATTTCTACCTTCTCCTCTCTGTCAACGCTCTCTGGTTTCATTTAAAAGAGTCGATCATCAGATATTGTCCAAGATTAACCTTCAGGGTGGATATAGCTCGCTAGCAGCCTCACACCGATGACCTAGTTGATGTCATCATTTACCCAGAATAGCTTCGCATGTAAATAAAATTGCTCCGTCCGTGTTAAAATATATTTTTAAAAATTTACAAAAATAAAAACAGCCTACAGTATTTTCACAGTCTTTATTTTACAGTTAAAGTATATTTTTATCAAATAAAATCTAATGTTACAACTAATCGGGGATCCCTTTAAAGATGTGGGGGTCTAAGTCCCGCCTCCTCCCCAGCACACATAGTGTCACATGACCTTTCTTTAAAAAAATGAAGGCCAGCTAAATGTGTAAGAAAATTTAGCATTTGACCTACAGAAGTGATAGAGAGCTAGAATAGTGTAAACACTGGGAAATAGTTACATATCTAAGGTGTTTTGGGGTTTTTTCGCTGTATGTTCAAATAATTTCTCAACCGTGTTTAGCTGTGATTAGTTATTTCATGCTTAAAGGAAAAGTCGGACAAAAGGTAAACTTTTGTCTGTTGTCTCCTGCTGACACCCTGTCTTGTACATCGTCCCCAGTCTGTCCTACAGACCAGTACGATTTGCTCAATGTGGTCGGCTCCCAGAAGCCGGTTGTTAAATTGGCAAAGCCATGCAACCAGCATTTACATCTTCTTTTCATCTCTTTCATTTCTTCATAAAAACAAGCTCACTCCTCTAACAATATGAGCCTCTCTTTCAACAACTGATACATCATCACCTGTCCTGCTTTCACTGTTTATATGATCAGCTACATGTGTGCTTCACTGGGAGTGCTGCAGGAGGGATTATGATGATTTTCCCCCCAAAGTCTTCTACACTTTTATACAGCCTCAGTAAGAAAAAGACGTGCAAACTGATGTAGTCCATTGTCTGACTTTGTGTGGAAGAATAAATAAGCCTTTAAAGCCTGACATCTTTAGTGCACAGACTGGTTCCATAAACACAACATGGCGGCTTTCGTAAAACAAGATTTTGCGACTTCAGTGCTCAAAATGGGAAAAAAATGCAGAGACTCTTGGTCTTTTAACACAATATACGGCCTACTGTATGTCTACCAGTTTTTAATTTGAAGATCACAGGAAGGGAGGTCTCCCTGAACAGAACCTGAAGCTAACCAAGGTTTGGCACAAAGACCTGGACCCTGTTCGTGGCTTACCTGGAATTAAATTATTGCAGCTCTGTTTTCAGATTTTATCTGAATGTAAAAGAGTCGTAATAATTTTGTCCCCATCGATGGAAATGTGTGTTAATGAATATCAACTTTTTTCTTTCTTTTTTTTTTTGACGGGAGCAAGTGAACAAGTGTGATAAACTCCGATTTCACACGAGCACTTTCACATGTCCACTTTGAAAAGTAATCTAATCCGGATTAGTGTTTATTCCTCTGAAATGAGGCACTTTCTAAAAAAAAATAACAGATCGGCGGACGTTTGAAATATTTGCACGGTTTGAAGGATTTTCACTGAGGGCATTGTGGTGTGATGTAGATATGGTGACACGTGTAAAGAGATGCAGGAATTAATCCGATCTATTAACGATTGAAGGTTATTCAGATTGTTTTATTGCAATTTTTTTTCTTATTTTGGTTGCATTTTAAGATATTTTCACACACTGTAGCTGTTCCTGTGCAAAGATCAGGTTCACTGATCTGAACAGATTAATGTAGCAATAAAAGTGCTGAGCTAAAGAAATTGTCGTCTTCCCGGGTCGGGTCAGAACTCGCTCTTCCTGTGTGGAAAATATTGTCGTTACACTGAAACGTCTCCTTTTTATTAAAGATGAAACTGCTGATAACTCTTTGTTCTATTTCTGTTGTGTTTTCTTCATTTTCAAAGAGCGTTACTGATATCCTGTTTTGGGGTTTCTTTGGTTTTTGTTGTTTTTTCTTTTTTTTAAGAAAATGATGCTGGAAGAGAGAAATAAACGAGATTAACATTATTAAAATCTGCCTTTTTTTCTTTTTTTTCCCCTTTTATTTTTGCCGGAGTGTGCACATTTCTATCAGCTTTTCCCCCTCAGACTTTGTACACTCCAGTTTATTATTAACACACACGCACACACACTTGTACGCAGTGGGTAAAAACCAAGTAAGGAAAATGAACTGTCATTGATATATGTATGAGCAAATTAGACTTAAAATAAAGAGAAATACATTTTCATTACTATTAATTTAAAAAAATATTACCACCAATAAAAGTTTTAACACTGAATAAAATGTAAATACAAATGTAAATACATACAACATAAAAACTGTGATGTTTTACATCGTTTTCAATCATGTTTTAGTTTAAAAAAACAAATTTATTCAAGTTTGTTGAAGCAGGATAAGATAGCTGCTTTTATCATGTGTAAGAGGTGTGTTCGTGTGTGTGTGCGTGCGTGTGTGTGTGTGTGTGTGCATGCATGCGTGAGTCAGTCGATTAGTGAGTGGACACTGTGTGATCTTTACTGATCATTACCAGTCTGGGTCCATCATGGAGACTGGAAAGGTACGATCTCTTTCAGAAATTAAACTTTACACGTCTTTGGGAAGTTTCTGAATATAAATGTATTTAGTAATCTTTTACAAACAAAATATTTGTATTCATTTCTATTTGTTTGTGGAAAACCTGTGTTCTGACTAGTGTATGTGCTGATTAATGTTTGTGTTTGCTCATGTCTCTGTGTGTGTGTGTGTGTTTGTGTGAGAGTGAACTTTTAGTCAAACTTCTATCTTTTTACACTTGCAGCAAATAACAGGAACGCTGATTGTGGCCGTGTTCACAGCTGCTCTGGGGTCCTTGCAGTTTGGATACAGTCTAGGAGTCATTAATGCACCTCAGAAGGTAGCGTTCGCTCTTAAAAACACACACGAGTCACTTCTAAAAGCACTCAAACACTTCTTCCGATACAGAAATGTGTTTTTTTCACACATTTTCAGAGAAAACATCAAACTTAAAGACACTGAGTAGCACTAGCAGTTTTTTAAAATAATGTTTGCATGAACTATTTCATGATAATTCATTTATTTATTCACATTTCAACTTTGTTTTAATGTGTTTTATTGAAATGTCACTGCTGTACATCGCTTGTCTGGCTTATGTTGAGATGTTTAAACTAAAATAAGAAAATTAATTAAAATAAATCATTATTTTCATTATGGGTGTTTGTTATTTAACATTTTCTTCAAGGGATCAATAAAGTATCTTTCTGTTCATAGATAGATAAATGTTAGCCTGGCCCTTGCCTTCCTACGCAGCTCCGCTCAATTCTAGTTTCCCGTCTGGGACTTCTCCCACTGACAAGGATTTCGCTGGCAGATTTTTAGCCGGGCCAATCAGAGAAGAGAACGTCAATTTTCTGCGCAGTGTCTGCTTGTAGTTTATTTTACCTGGGCCAATCAGCAAACAGAAGGCGGAGTTTTAAACGACGTCGACTTTCTGCGCAGTGTTTGCTAGTTATTTTAGCATACAGCAGTGGAGGAAGTGAATGAAGCCAGTCTGTGTTGATAAGGCTTCTAAATTAAAATAAATTTGTCTGACAAAACAGCAGCTCTCATTTACAGTCGTCTCGTTCGGCTCGGTATATTTCTCCTCTCAGTAGGGTTGGTTAAAGCAGAGATTTTTGACCTATGGGCCATAATTGGGCTGCAGCGAGCGCCATCTTGAGTGCCTCAAAAGAACAACAGTTTTTAACTTTGGGCCGCAGA